TTCTTTTTTTCGGTACCGGTACTAGTTTTATTTTGTTGTATTTATCCGCGACACCTTAAAGGCCGGTCCATGAAAATGTTGTCGGGCATAAACCGGTCCGTTGCGCAAAAAAGGTTGGAGACCGCTGGTCTACACAACCCAAAATGTGGTCCTAGGAGGTTAAACATAGTCACCGTGGCATCACCTAATGGTTTGTAGACTCATTTTGGTTTTTGATACTGTACACATGTACTACAGTGAAATGTCAATTAAAAAGTATTCCACACTGAAGTACACCCTGGGCTGTCATTTATGTGATTGTAAAAACTTATGGACTATCTGAGGAATCACTCATCGTTGGTCATTAGATAGAATCGAGGTTTAAGGCTTCATTTTGGAGACCATGTCCATCCTTTTTATACAGATCATCCAAATAAAGCCTGCACCTCTCTCTTAATAGCTTTTGCGACACGTGTTAATGCAGACATTAAGCCTGAGATACAGCATGTTAAGATGTGAGACTTAGAAAAGGTGGTAGATGTGTTGTTATCACTAGATACAAGTTTTCCTTGTACTACCTGTATAGTTTGTTGTGTGTAATCATCTTACAGTTTTAGCTTCACACATAACAGCTGTGGTTTTGATCTTAGTAATTCTCATGAAGAACGGTAATACAAAAAAATCATTCCTAGAAAACCAGGTTCACCTGGAAATAATAAACAACATTTATCTGACTCTACCGTAGGTGACAAATTTCTTTTGGATAACATCAGAGTCGGCCTGAATTAGAAAGAGACTCACCTCAGCTTGAATCACCCGCAGTGTCTCTTTGAGGTGCTCGTCTCCATTTGTCTTGTAGTTGTTGTACGTCTGTGTGTAAAATCTTGTGATATCATTCACCACCTGCAACACAGCAGTAAACCGAAAAACTATGATATAATATATGTCACAGAGACACATAAATCTCCAAACCCCTTTACTCGACTCGCTTTTTTGGATTTGGTTTGTCTTTTCTGATGTGGTAGTGTTCTCTCACATGGATTCCTGTAGTGTACTAGGTCTGTGTAAAGTGTTTTCAACCTGATAGTTAGCGTTATAATTTGTTAAAATGTTACCTGGCTTTGGTTAGAAAATCCCCAGATTCCAGCAGCTACCTCAATGGCAAATATGATTAGCAGGAAGAAGAAGAACTGCAGAAAGAAAAAGACTAAATTAAACTCAGCTGACTGTTTGCTTCCAGGCATGCTTGCGCGCATGTCTTTTGCGCCCATGTATGAACACATAAGGTCAGTTGAGGGTAGCCAAACCCAGTTTTCATTTACTCCTCCTCTTGAGAGATTTAATATGAGAAGAGAAGATTACGGCCAGACGGAGCGGGATGGTGGGAGCTAGTGCAGAGAAATCTAAGAGACTCTTCCGTGGCCTTCACACAGTTCAGTAAACAAAGATGAAGGCAGACATCTCATATCTTTTGAGTGAGCCCAAGGTTAGTCCGTAAAGCACACTTGTGACAGCGAGATAAAAAGTCCAAGTGCAGCTAAGTGAAATCACTAAGACAGTTAAAATGTTTACGTTAGTTAGATCAAAATTAGTTAATAGAATATGATAGTTATGAAGATTATTAAGTGGTACGAACCGTTCCCAGCATACAGGGGGACTCACGGATGGCACCACAACATCCCAGAAAGCCCACCACCATGATCAGTGCTCCAGCTGCTATCAGAATATATACACCTACACACACACACACACACACAACACATGTGATATACAGAGAAGAATAAATAGCTTTTATACAAATAGCTATGATATAATAAACATCCCTGCATCTTACCTGTGTAAAACACATATGAAGAATCTGGTTCTTCAAATAAGCTTTTGGTCTTCTGGTCTAATCTCAGCCACAGTCCTATAGCTAATACAGCAGTGCCGGCGAGCTGCAACACACAAAAATATATGTTGTCACATACAACATATATTGCAATTTGGACCATGCAATTTGCATACTGTTTGCTCATTAAAAGTTGAGTCAAGAAGAAAACTCTTCATACTCAGTTCTCTTCATGTCCATGCATGCATCATCCCCCGCTTGCCAACCTAATCAGCAAGCATCGGTTAACAATTATGCCTCTGAGTTTAAAACACTGCACTGACCAGCTGTTTCTCCTGGTTTCATCCTTACAGTTTCGCAGTACTCAAACAAAAACCTTCAAATATAATTTAATAAACAGTGCCTCGTTGCAGAAATTCCTCTTTCACAGTAATTACCTCTATTTGCCTACAAATCTATCAAAAAACACCTACAAATATTACAATTCAATACCTACACAGCTTCATGTTTCTAAAAAACAAAATAAAACAAATAGCCCAAAGTAAACTGAAACTGAACATTACACTTTTGATTCTTAAGCTCTGAGACAGATAACAGAGAAGGGAGCCTGCATGGTCACAGCTTGCACACATTCCTTTTAACATTTTCACTTAACGTGAACACATAGTAGCAAGTTATTTGAAATATGTGGAGAAAGTATTCTAAAACTCAGAGTTTAGGACTTTAAAAAACGTGTATACAAGGCCACTTACAAGCCTCGGCAAAGATAGGTTGGTAAATGATTAACTTTGAGAAGAAAGGTGGCACGCAGTTTTTTTCGAAAGCGTGGGAGTGTCACTTTGCCTTTTCTTCTCAGGTTTTGACAGATGCTTGTTGTTTTGAATACTTTATGCCACATTGCTGCAGTTTTCCTGTATCCTTTAAAATATGTTAGCCAGTAGAAATTTGTTACAGAACTGTAACACAAGTTGAAACATTTCCCCTTTTCTTTATCCCAAATTAAAAAGCAAAATACACCTACCCAGAAGAAAAAGTTGAAGATGAACATGAGATATTTCACACATTTGATTCCCCCACCGAGAGCCATGTTGAGTCACTTTAAACAGTTCACCACTGTGACAAAGTAGTGCCTTTTTTTCCAGGAAGAAGCCAACGCAAAGGTAGTGGTAAGAGAGAGTATTCTCAATACCGTGCCTATCAGAGTCACCTGATTATGGAGGTAGGGAGTGGCCAAAGCAACTCTTCTCTTTCAACATGTTGTTCCATGTATAGTTACAGGGTGTTATGATCTGGTAGATAGAGGGGTTGTGTCCAGGCATGTAAACGTTTCCTAAAATACCTGCTTGACGACACATTTAATCCTCTGGTATCTGAATGGGTCGACTTTTGCTTCCCATTACACCTACAGGTTTTGCCGCACCCAGAAGTGGTTTTTGATCCAGTCCAAGCTAAATTTGCGAACTCTGCTCTGTGTGCACTGACACAAAAGCTGCACTCAGCTGTGATCCTGGTTAGTTTCTATCTCAGAAGGGAAGTATCTTTGTTTAAATGAGGATGCTAGTTATAAGGAAGCGTCCCTGTGTGTTGACAAATTCTGCTGATTAAGAGTTATACTGTAATTTATAATGTATTGTTTTCCTAAAGCTTTTCCATTTCGAAACATTTGTGACTTTTAAAAAGTGATTATAATGACCTATTTTCATCAATCTTATTAACACTCAAAACTTATATTTTATTTCTCTCTCACACGTAGCGTTCACATGCTGTGGGAAATCTGTCTGCCCTGTAATTAATGCTGCACTTAGCTCTATGTATAGCGTCGCAGATTACAAACGTGCATAAAAGGCAACACAACCATTTGAAACCACACGCACACATCCCACTCAAACACGCACAGCAAGACACACCCTGCGGGTGCGCAGGACAGCGGGACACATAACCTACATGGGATATCTAGCATTCGCGCACAAGCATGTGCGCGCGCACACCGCCAAGTAGACAGACTTCCATTAACAACTCTTTTAGGGGCGGAAGTGTAAATTACTTTATTTTGGGGCTATATCTCGGCCACAATAAGCCCCCTCCCCCTCATTGCAAGTATTAAAATGCCGTGCGCGCAAACTCCAGAGTGTGGCTAGTCTGCGCGGTGGAACTGGGTCACTTGGCCACTGGGGATTATTCTCCAGCCCGCACGGTCTCCACAAACATTGGGACACTTTGTGTTTAGTGGCAGCCAGAGCCATAATTCATTCATGCGGCTGCTCAGACAATCCGGGGATAAGTAACAGACACACACCGTGAGCACTCGGTACTATTTTGCATCTGGGACGTCTATACCGTGTAATTTCATTCACTATAGTAACCTGCGCTCACACGAATGCGCATGTTCCTACGCAAACCTCACACACGTTCGCAGACACACACGTAGAAAAACAGGCAGGATGCACACGAGAATAAAATATTTTCTTGCTTTGGACTCACCCAGAACACCAGGTTAAAGGCAAACATCAGGTATTTGATGCACGTCTCACCCCCCGACAGTGCAGCCATGGTGGTCCTTGAACTGTGACTCACACTTGTACCGCTATCTCAAATTCAAGAGGAGAAGGGCCACTATATAACAGTCTGTATGCAGAATGAGGTTATTTGCCGAGGCGCCGGCGCTGACGCGCGTCGTGCGGAGCGCGCCTGTAGTGGTCCGCCCCCTCACGGTTGCACAGCCTCCTATGGCTCTTCTTCTTTCTGTCTTTATTCCTGAAAACTTTTGTTTACAATTTCTTCTTTATTTAATTATTTGACCAAAAACAAGTGGATATCGTTGTTTTAGTTATTTTCGGGGATTTTGTGGGATTTCCGGTGATGTAGGAGTGTTGACATCACATCGCACACGATTTTCGATTTATTCAGATCGCAGCCTGCACTTGCTTTTCAGTATAGTGTGTATAGTGTATAGTGTGCCTTTCCTATATACAATAGTGGGAACAGTACACTTAAAAGCACCCTGCTGTGGTTATTTGAATGCAAGTTCCTGCAGGACTCTGGGCATTGCGATGACGTAATTCTCCAGGAATAAGGAAAGCGCGTTCACGGATTAAATATACTGTACATGAATAAACACGGTGCACGAGCAGGCTGTGTGCTCGCCAGCAATATATAGCTCACAGACAGACTATAGGTTACACGCTCTCACTTCTAAACGCGATATGAAACAGGTAGCTTTGCAATTGAATGCATCACTTAGCATCTGTGAGGCATGAAGGCTGCACGTTAGTCTGGTGTCTGAACAGTCCTGCTTCAGGGTATATCACGCTTAGATATACGTTTTACGACCATTTTTAAGTGGGCAATGAATTAGCTACCATTTATAGATGATGTATACGTTTTTGTTTTACCTAATGCTTGTATAACTTTATTAATTAAATTTAACAACATAGCTGTGAAAGCGTCAACATCGCTATGCTCGAAAAAAGCCTGAAAAGTATGATGCCATTTGTCTACATTTAGCTTTTAATAATAAAGTGTCAGTTTTTATATCCGTAGTAGGACTGAATTATTTCACTGGCGGTTTATTAATAAGTAGAAAACCCACTTTAACCCTTTAAAGCCTGAGCTATGACATTATTTCCAGAAAATTATTGAATTAGAAAAAATACATATAAATTTGCATATATTAGTTTTAATTTGATTATATTTGCTATATTTGTTTGTGTGGTTGGGGCGGGGGGTTCTGCAGGCTAACCAACTTGACCAAAACTGCCTCACCATGCATATTTATGATTACCCAAAGCTCTGCATGCCCTTTCAGTTAAGTTATTATATCAGAGCTATCAGAGCTGCTATACAGAAGACATGTAGGCACATTTGCAAGTAATAATGTTAGATTTTTTTCCCTCCAAATTCAGCATGTTCATTTGTCTGTTTTGAAAAACATCTCTTGGCATCTCACTGTCGCACTACAGGACATTTTTGGGTACTTACATAATTTCAGTGATGCCAGTAATACCCTTGTTTCAAGCAGAGACGCCTTCTATCAGGCAGATTATGAACGTCTGCGTGTGTTTGCTGTGTGTTTGAAGCACACAGCTCCACAGGTGATTTCCAGCTCAACTCAAGATAGATCATACATACTGTGCGAACATTTTGGGTGCTTTGTCTGTTTACACCAGATAGGTAGATCAGGTAGTGTCCACAGACACTGATCATTACGTATTTAGTAGCCTAGAGTTACATAAAGAGAGTGAAAGCAAAAGAAACAGCCTCAGTCTGCAGAATACTTATTTACTTATTTATAATTACTTTATGCTTGCTTCATACTTGTATAAATACTTATTTTTGTGACATTGTGATACAGGTTGTGAATCTGAAAACACAAAACATATTCTTCTTCTTTTTCCTCAGCTTTGTCCAGAGACAACATAAGTTTCCACCTGAGAGTGCTGATCATCACATGTTCCCATTATGTGTGCGTGTGTGTATATGTGTGTGTAATTTTGGTGTGTTTGTGCATGTGACACTATCGAAGCAGTGTAATTGCGTGAGATCGCTTTAGTAAGTGTTTTTTTTTTACCAAAAGGATTGTTTGGCTTGGCACTGATACAGATGCGTATGTGTAGACTAATCACTCAGCCAGGCGATCAGTGGGCATATCCTGGCATTGTCCCGTTGAGTGTGCTTGATGGTGTCAGTCTGCAGGCTCCAAGTTGTGGACAGAAAGGCATTCTTTCCCTCTTGTCTGAACCTGGCAAGGGGAGTGGACTTAAGAGAAAGCCTATGAAAGTTGGGTTGGGTTCAGTCTTTGCTATAAAACTGAGCTTCCAGTGGGGCTGAAATTCTTCTTAGTTTAGCCAATGCTTGACCATTACATTACTTCATAATGTCCGGACTCTGCGAGGTCTTAACGTCGTGATTTGGGATAGTGTCTGCTGTTTCTGGAGTCTGGAACCATGGAGGTATGAGTACTTGGAGTTTATAGAAGTAAAAAAAAAAGGGGGTTTTGAAGCAGGCCTAACATTGCACACAAAATAACATGATCTTTGTACATCAGACGATAAAGATATTAGTTTAAGCTGTGATGAAAATGAAAGCATATATGTTTATGTGTTCCAGGACTACATAAAGAGATATTTGCGAGGAATTTGGGTTTTCCTGCAGCTGACCTGTGAGTATTATATTGGAGAATATCCAGTTTCGTTTCTATCTTTACACCCAAAAAGTGACATATTCTTACAGACTATGTCACGTGCCTCATATGAAATCTCTTATAATTCTTCTTCAGCACACATCGGCATATCTGTGTACTCTGTTTGTGTGTGTTCAGCTTGTCTAGGGAGCATGACAGGGAGATGCAGTCTGTTTGGACGGCACCACGTTCACACATTCGATGGTGTTTTGTATGACTTTCCTGGAGACTGCAGCTACCTTCTGGCTGGGGACTGCAACCACCACTCCTTCACACTGCTGGGTGAGTCACGCTCAAATTCAATAAAGAGATTCAAAAAAAAGATTTGAATTCTAATAGTGTGCCAGGCTTATCTTGTGTAGTTTAGTGTGTAATGCCTCGTTGATGCAATATATTGGCTTTTGGAAACTGTTTACAAGTCATCTTCACTTTTAGTTTTCTGTCTTATTTGGCTAAGTCTGCCATGGTTGTGGTACAGAGTTGTAACATTGTGTTCAAAATGTGCTTTGGATCTGCAGGCGACTTTCAAAATGGCAAAAGAACTGGAGTCACGCTATTTTTGGGGGATGTCTTTGAGTTGCACCTTTCTGTAGATGGATGGCTCTCACAAGGAGAAAAAAGGTAGCACACTAGCGCTGTCATTCAGCATTAAGTTTGTGTGTATAAATATTGAAAGCTCCTCGCTAGTTTGCTTCTGCAGAAGCTTGATATATGCCGTCTTTTTTTTCTAGGCTGTCACTGCCCTATGCATCTCACTCTGTGTTTGTGGGCTCAGAGCTCGGCTTTTACAAGCTCTGGAGTGAGGAGTTTGGCTTCACTGTCACCATTGATAATGCTGCCAACATCGCCTTGACCCTGACCAAACGCCATGCAAACCACACCTGCGGCCTCTGTGGCAACTTCAACTCTATGACTGCTGATGAATATACTGCTCAGGAAGGTATGTGCGTGCTATACAGCCCACAAGATGCAACTGTGAAAAAAGTGAAACTAGGGAGAGTTTATTATTACTGGAATAGAGGAAACGATTTGAGTCACCAGCACTCAACAACAGGAAGAGGAACAACCGAGTACAGGAAAAGATAACAAAGTAAAAGAAAGCAAAAGACACAGTTGTGGTAGGATGAGATTAAGAACAAATCTGTCAACTTGTTTGTCTCTCTGTCTGTGCGCGCCTGTGTATTTTTCAGGATTCCTAACAGAGGACACTTATGACTTTGCAAATTCGTGGGCAGTGAAGGGAGCTGATCAGTCCTGTCAGCGTGTGTCAAATCCATCAAAATCCTGTAACACAACAAAAGAAACTTCCATGGTGAGAGGGTAGTTAAAACACACATGCACATGTTTAGATAGTAGGCGCGTCATGATGTCTGATGTGTAGACACAAGTCATTAAATAAAAGCTTTGTACATTTCTCCTCACAATAAAAAAGGTATTTTACAGTGGTTCACTTCCTAACAAAGCACCTGATATTTCTTTGTGTGTATTATGCTCTAATTTGTCTTTGTTTCTTTTACTGCTAATATGCAATAGGTTATATTTTTTGCACACACCTAAACTCATAAAGATAAACATTTTTCTTTACCAACATATAATGTATATTTTAAAATCAGGTGGGTTTTGGAGTTAAAGTGCCAACTATAACCCACATTGTCTTTGGTTGATGTCCAAATACATATTATTAGTCCCAAAGATTTTAGAAAGATTTGGCATTTTTAATACATCTGTTCTTTTTTATAAAGGCATTTTGGCTTTCATACACAGTATTAAGGTTCAATATGCTCAAATGGGGACGACAGCCCAGTCTCTTTAAAAAAAACGAACAGCTGGTAAGCGGACAGATCTGACAGGTGTGATTGCAGCTCTGTAGCCTGTGCAGTCTTTGTGGGTGAGCAGATATGAAATAAAAACGGTTGGATTTCGAAAGAACATTTTGCACATCTGAAACACCCACATGTGAGAAAACTGTACAAATTTCATGTTAGTGTGAAACCATAGGATCCTATCAGCATCTCCTTCAGTTCACCGCAAAACTGATGAATATGTATTCTTTCACTTTTATTCAAAATCTCAGTTTCTATCATTATGATATTGCCATTTTCACAATTTTCACCCACCAGATGTTAATCCACTCTTCCTCTTTTTTGGCATTTAACATTTTTTCAAGTTTCAGACATGGTTTCTATTCCCCATTTATTCAGCTGCACAGGTTGTTAGGCCTAAAAAGAGGCAAACAACTTATTTTCTGCCTGTTTGTGCTTATGTGTAGATTTTGTCCAGCTGCAGCGTGTTGCAGACCTCTAGTGTGTTTCTCCACTGCGCCCACTTGGTCTCTCCCGAACCATTCCTGCTGCTGTGTCAGGAGGAGGCCTGTTACTGTGATCAGACAGGGCCTGAAGATTGTTACTGTCCAATCCTGCTGGAGTATGCTCGCACATGCCACGCTCATGGGATACTTCTTCGCGGCTGGTCGCAGGAAAGCCAGTGCTGTGAGTTTATTAGTTCTATAAAATTAACAGCAGGTTATAACATGACATGCATTATTTATATATGCTTTTCTTTTGTGTAAAGTCCCCAAATGTCCAATTGGCATGCAGTACAGTGAATGCACCAAGTCTTGCTCTACAACCTGCCATAGCCTCAACATCCAGGAGGTCTGCAAGGAAGAGTGTGTCGATGGCTGCACGTGTCCTGGTAACCCCTCGCTCACGATATCTCTCTCCTGTCTCCGTCTTACTGTTTCTAGTAGTAACATGGCATGCATGTGTGTTTCAGTTGGCAAGGTTTTGGATGGTAATCGCTGTGTTGAGGTATCCCAGTGTTCCTGTGCGCACATGGGAAAACATTTCCCACCAGGAGCCACGGTCTCTCAGGACTGCAACACCTGGTGAGAAAGCAGTGCAGGCGCAAATACAGATACACAGAAATAGTTACATATAAAATATGCTTCCTTCAAACAAATGTCTCTTTTATGTAGTGTGTGTCGTCACGGTTCATGGGAATGCACCAATGAAGGCTGTCCTGGTGAGAGAGATGAACAATAATACACACTCACTAATACTTTCGTTTGGGAAATAAAGTCCTCATTTCTGATGTCATATCCTTGTTGTTGGTGTGTAGGTGAATGCTTGGTTGTTGGCCAGTCTCACTTCAAGAGCTTTGACAACAAGTTCTTCACGTTTGCTGGCCACTGCCAGTATCTGCTGGCAAAGGACTGCTCACAAAATGAGTTTTCTATCATAATTGAAAATGTACAGGTAAAAATGAGCTTTGGTTTTCAATGCAAAATAAATTTGGAATTTGTTCTTACACTAACTACACAAATACACAAAGAATGACCCTGTTAGCGTTCTGTCACCCCCGTGTTGCCAGCTTTTCATCATTTACAGCATTTAGGTTGTTTTTTATCTTTCAGTGCGCTGATGATCAGGATGCTGTGTGCACACGCTCAGTGACTCTCAGTCTGCCCTCTCTGGAGGACATGACAGTCAAGCTGAAGCATGGAGGAATTGTTTCTGTCAACAGCATGGACATCCAGACCCCAATGCGTCACGGTATGCTACTTTAAAGTGCATTTAAATGACCTTTTATGCATATAAGATAAATATATTAAATATACCATAGTAAAGTAAATATACCTTTAAGATGGTTATCCATATATGAGAGAAGCACTCTGAGAGATTTCAGAATGGCAATACACTGGCTCTAACAGCACAGCTCTGCTAAGTACTTGCGTGAGTGGTTCATTAATATTAACTGATTTTAACCAGCCAGTTAACTATGTGTGTCATTTTACAGGCCGTTTACATATCCAGAGATCTGTTCAGTCTTCAGTACGTGTAAAGTTTGGTGAGGACTTTCGTCTGGACTGGGATGGGCGGGGCCGTGTGCTTTTAAAGGTTGAAGAAGTTGTATATCTTAAAGATGTTTCCTTTCAATAACCCCTGTATGAAAAGATGGGAAAAAAACCTATCTTGAATTCTGTCTGCCTCCACAGCTGGGTCCACAATGGGCGGGCCGGACCTGTGGACTGTGTGGTAACTACAATGGTAACCAAGGTGATGATTTTTTGACTGGTTCTGGGTTGGTTGAGGCTAGTCCTCACTCTTTTGGCCAGGCTTGGAGGATCAATGGAGACTGTGAATCCACTCAGAAATTTGAAACTGATCCATGTGCCGTTAACCCGAAAAGAGGTATATACCCCCACACAGACAGACATCACTCCAGTAATGACTTAACACTAATCTCACGATACCTCGATACCAGTGCGCTTTGCAGAAGAGGCGTGTGCAGTGATGATGTCAGACGTGTTCAGTCCGTGCCACTTTCTGGTGAATCCGGGTCCGTTCCAGCAGTTCTGTCGTTATGATGTGTGTGCGTGTGGGGACGGTGAGGAGTGCCTCTGCTCGGCTTTGTCCGCCTATGCAGCTGCCTGCTCAGCAAGAGGAGTGCTGCTCAACTGGAGGTCTCCTTCGCTCTGTGGTAACTTTTACATTGGACCTATTTACAGTTGATCACTCTCACACACACTCTCTTTCTGTGGTTTATTTAGAATAATTTTGTATGCATTTCTTTTTATAGATCATTTCATTTTCTGTAATATTTTTAGATAATTTTACAAGCATGTCCTCTGCAGGATCTATGGTTTTCATTTATGTTTATGTTAGGGTCACTCTAAAATCTTGAGACTTTTGCAAATTTGAAGACTGCTTTGGATTAAATGGTAAATGGACTGATTCTTATATAGCGCTTTTCTACTCTCACGGAGTACTCAAAGCACTCTATACAACATGCCTCACTCACCCAATCATACCCATTCTCACAAGCACTTTATCTACACTTAGTGCTTTCTAACGACATTCATACACATTCATACTCCGATGGATGCATCGGAGAGCAAGTTGGGGTTAGTATCTTGCCCAAGGATGCTTGACATGCAGACTGGAGGAGCCAGGGATCGAACCACCGACCTTCCGATCAGTAGGTGACCTGCTCTACCTCCTGAGCTACAGCCACCCACTTTACTGGATAACTGTCTTATTGTAGACATCATGTTTTTTTTAAAGTTTTGGTTTCTTGACTGAATTTGCAGAATTTTACTGGAAACTATTCTTCCTCTTCCTGTGCAATGTTTCCTGTGCCACTGTCTGCTACAGCAAGCAGAATATATCCTCCCCCATGTTGGCAAAATGTTTCTTTCCTCAAATGGTGCCATTTCTTTCTCCTGATATATTTTTGTGGTTATTATGATTATTTAAGAACTAAATATCACTTCGTTTTTCACGGCTTGTAATTTCAAAACCACTAAGTTTCAGATTTTTGTGGATTATGTGAGAGTGCTATTTAGTTTCTGATAATGTTTCCATTCAGACCCGGTTTGTGCATTAGTGCTGCACAGTTCAATAGTGCAATATCTCTAATGGTTTAGTGAGAATAAATGACTAATCCTCCCCTGATATGGTGTTCACAGCGCTGGAGTGCACAGGAGGACAGGTCTATGAGGCATGTGGGAGTGTGTGTGACCGGACTTGTGGTTCTCTGTCTGGCGCTGAGGCTGGCTGCGAGGGGGAGAGGGTGTGTGAGGAGGGCTGTTTCTGTCCCACTGGAAAGTACCTGAGTTCCTCAGGTGAATGTGTGACGGGTGACCAGTGCACCTGCCTGCATGATGGACAACTCTACCAGCCTGATGATGTCTATGCAGATCACAACAGTATTTGGTCAGTGACTATGCATGCTTATGCAGAACTTTAAACAGCTGTTATGGTTTGCTGTTTTATTATTTTTGCCATCTTGTTTTTGCTTATGAGTGCAGCTACTGTGAGAAGGGCTCCATGCGGTGTAGCTCCACTGAAACGACTTCATTGCTCTCTGACCTCTTCTATGATGATGACCCAGCACCATCCAGAGGTATAACTGAGTGTTTCAGTTCCCGAACCTTTTTCATGATCATGGCTTGTAAAAAACAAGCAGTTCTCATTAATAGTTCTCATTTGACAGTTGAACCCTGAACAACTTGATTTTTGTCATGAAGCTTGCTTAATTGTTTTTGTTTTTTTCAATTAATTTGTTTTTTTATGTATGCAGAGCGTCGGTCAACACGGTGCCCTCCTCCGCTCACTCGTGCAGAGTGTAATGCAGGAGAAAAGGGTCTGGAGTGTGCAAGAACCTGCCAAAATCTGGATCTGCCTTGTGTCAGTCTTGCCTGCATCCCAGGCTGCCTCTGTCCACCTGGCACTGTAGGTGGTTTGTTATGTTGTGTGCATGCTGCAGGTAACAAAGTGAACATATAAAGTGATTTGATTGATTAATCAAGCTGATTTCAGGTGCGTCACCGCAGAGAATGCATTATACCGGAGCAGTGTCCCTGTTACCATAACAACAGGCCATATGCAACAGGACAGACCATCTCTGTGGATTGCAACACCTGGTAAAATGCTTGTTAATATAGTTGTCCATTAAAGGAAATACCTCTACTGTGTTTGCTTAGCATGTGTCCTGTTTTGTAGTGTGTGCAAGAACAGAAAGTGGCAATGCACGGAGAAAGTGTGTGATGGTGTGTGCCGCACCGTGGGGGAAGGGCATTACATCACTTTTGATGGCTTAAAGTACTCTTTCCCTGGCCTCTGCCAGTATGTCCTAGTCCAGGTAAGAGACTGAGAAGGACTTCCAAAAAGGGCGTCAAAGTGAACTGCAGACTATGAAGTACATGCACTGATCTTTGTTAATCAGGTCCTGTCCTATCTTTCTCTACTTGCACATATCAATAGGATATGTGTAGTGGGGAAGACGGTTCCTTCAGGGTGCTGGTGGAAAATGAGGCCTGTGGAATTGTGGGACACCGCTGTGCAAAAGCTGTCACAATCTTCTACCAGGGAGGGTTAATAATAATGCAGCATGGAGAGGTAACACACAAACATTCATTTATACTGATTCACATCAACACATGCAACTTATTAAGTGATTTGTTGTATTAGTGCAAAGTCCAAATGGATTTATAATCTTGTAACATGTAAAAAAAGTGTAAAACTTGAAATAATGTCTTTACTCTCAAGAGAGGCTATTAACCAAATATGTTGTTAAAGTTAACGTACTTTAATATTTGTCTAAAGACCGATATTCATTCATTCACAAAATTCATTCTAGATGTTTGGCTTTTAAACATTATATTTATAATTTAGGCATTTCAACAGTACAATTATTAGTGGAGGGTGTGACTCAAGAGGTACAGCAGGTCATCTACACATCGGAAGACTGGTGATTTGAGCCGTGGCTGCTTCAGGATACATGCCAAAGTGTCCTTGGACCCCGAGTTGCTCCCAATACATTGTGAAATACAGTGTGAAAGTTAGACAAAAAAGCACTTAAACACAAAAAACAAGGTGCTTGTGTGAATGAGACATGTTGTCTAAAGACCCTTGAGTGCTCAAGTACAGTAGAAACGTGCAGTTTGATGCAAACCCACAAACTGCCTTGTATATTTCAGCAGTTAGTTAAGTTTTTTTTTTGTCTAATACATTTATAACTTGTGTCCTGCTTTACTCGGACACTCTGCAAACGAACTTAGTCAAGTTGTAAGCTTTTGAGACTTGACCTCTCAGTATCCCAAATGCACCTGTAATGATGACCTTTCTGTCTTTCAGGTGAAGATGAAGAGGCCGGTGCCGCAGGGCTCACAGGTGGAGATTGTCCGATCTGGTCACTTTTACACTCTGCAGCTGGGGAAACACATTTCCCTCAGCTGGGATATGGGAACCCGCCTCCTGGTTCACATCTCACCTGAATACAGGGTACTGATGTATTATGACTAATTGTGACCACTTGAATCTTTTTCATTTTATTCATAATATAAAATATTAAATATTATTGCGTGTAGGGTCGGGTGTGCGGCTTGTGTGGTAACTTTGATGGGAATGTAAACAACGACTTGATGAGCAGTAACCACCAGCTAGAGGTGGATTCGTCACACTTTGGCAACTCCTGGAAGGTCATTCCCAGCTGTGCTGATCTCACAAAGGTAAAGTCTCGACTTAAAGGGCTGCCTTGCTGAATGGAAAAATTTATATTTTCTCTCTACTCCTAACTAATGTTAAGGAAATCTGTTGATGTTTTGTGTGTCTAAAAGAAAAAATATGTCAGTATCAGTAGCTTAAAAATCCTATATCGGATGATCTCTAATATTTAGATCTATCTCTGAGCATTGCACTTCACCAGGACTGGGCTTACAGGGCTGAAAATTAGATTTCTTTCAGTGTCAGCGTTATTCATTATATCCCACCGAGAAACATTAGAAATATATTGAGATCACAGTGACTGATCTACTTGAAAATCTCTGCAGGCGTCCAACTCACAGTAGTGTAAGGATTAAAATGAATCATTCGCATACATTTTTTATGTTATTACAATGAAGTCAAGTATGGTGACGATTGCAGTTCTTTGCATATATTTCAGTGGAGCACTGGCACAGAATAGATAGAGACATTCTACAATACATTCACAAAGAGATAAACAATGTCGCACCAATTTGCTGTTTTTATTTTATGTGTGTAGATACCTGCTCCTTGCTCCGACAACATTGTCAAACTGGTAACAGTGGAGCAGTCGTGCCGTATCCTCACTGGTTCCCTCTTTAAAGAATGCAACAGTCAGGTGAGCAATTACAGGCAAACTTTAACTGATCAAGTGAGATGCTTTGATGGATTTATACTCTTTGCCCTCTACCTCTGCCTGTGTGTCTGTAGGTGGATGCAGAGCCTTATGTAGAGATGTGTGTGGAGGCAGCATGCTCGTGCCCATCAGTGGGTGACTGCCAGTGTTTCTGTGATGTTATTGCCGCCTATGCACAGGCTTGCTCAGAGAGTGGTGTATTCGTCAACTGGAGATCAAATGATCTTTGCTGTGAGTATGAAGAATTCATTATGATATAAAAAACACAAGTCATAACTGCTTGACCAAACTAACAAAAATAATTGAAGTCCCATCTAGTCGCATCTAGTTTTTTGTGCTAAAAGTCATGATTTTACTCAGAATATCAGAATGCAGATTGCACATTTTTATCAGTAGTCTAATATCACAATTATTATAAAGTTATCTTTATGATAATAAAGTTATTTTTTTTGTAGCTAAGTGAAATGACTGAAAAGTGCATGCTACAATGTTTTGATTCCTTAGCACTGAGCTGTGAGGAGCTGAATCCTAGAATCCCAGGTGTAGGGGAGGAGTTATGTCATTGGAGATACAATACCTGTGGTCCTGCCTGTCCAGTCACCTGCCAACATCCAGATCCCCTCCAGTGTTCGCTCACATGTGTGGAAGGCTGTCATGCCTACTGCCCTCCAGGTATCAACAAACACTAACCGAATGCTTTCAGGATTTATATATCGCACGAATGTAACGGGACAAAAATATATTGTGGGGATTTTTACACTGACTTTGATGTTCTTAGGACAACTCCTGGATGAGGTGGCCATGCGATGTGTTGAACCCTCTCATTGTCAGGTGTGTATGCATGAGGGTCAAAGAATCTCCCATGGGAACAAGGTCATCCTGAATCACAATGACCCCGATCAGTGCAGGATATGGTAATATTTCATCACAACATTTCCTTATGAGTTTGAATATTTCAGTTTTCTGCTTCTCACCAGGTTTGGCTTACATAGAACTGAGGTTACCCTGGTAACCAAATGTTTGGTGATGAATGCTTTGCAATTATATTTCATGATGCTTTGTTGTTTCTTTACTATAGTCATTGTGACAACAACACATTAAGCTGTGAAGCGTGTGCCTCCTCCGCCATGTTCACAACTTCCACACCGACGCCCACCTATGGCACCTTCACAACAATCCCCTTCACCACGTTGATGCCTGAGGGCACGTGTGACCGTGCCATGGATCTAGCATTCTTACTGGATGGATCAGAAGCTCTGACTGAAGATGAATTTGAGGCTACAAAACAGTTCATACTTGGGGTGGTTGAACGATTCCGCATGGGCTCAGCTCACACTCGAGCAACAGTGCTACTCTACCACTCTGGAGTCAAAACATATGATCTTCAGGTAGTTAAACACTGCATGCGTGTGTGTGTGACTAACTATCAGTAATTCATGTTTGAGTAAAATAAGAATGTAAAAGATTTTAAAGTGTTATTTCTGCTGTAATCAATCCAGTCAGAGTTAATATACTAAAAAAACATAAATTTGTACATCCAGCTATTTAAATTCAGCAAAATAGTGGAAACTAAAATGCAACAGGAAGCAAGTGGATGCAGCACGGCTTGAATAATGCTGATGACTAATCAAGCTTGGTGAAAAGCAGCTTTTTTGGCTCACTGAAACTGATTCATAGTAAAAGTCTACACGTGAATACTTGATCTACTATTTTTCCTCCCTCTCTTATGCCTCTAGGTTCAGAAGTGGATATTTAAGAAGACTGTGCGTGAGCTTCATTACACAGGAGGAGATGCTGCTTTCATGGATGAGGCCGTCAAATATCTGGGTATCAACATCTATGACAAGAACAAGCGTGAGAACGCCGGCCGCGTTGCCATTATCTTGGCTGCTAGTCCCAACCCTCGCCCTATCCGTTCCATTGTAAAGATGCTCCGAAAGAAGGCCATCACCACCCTGACAGTGGCACTGGGTCCTGGGGTAGATATGTCACAAATTACTGAAATCTCCAAGGCCAATCCTGATAACAGGGCCTATGTGCTGAGCAGCACAGGTGAGCTGCCTGATCGGCTGCCGGAGCTGACAGATTACCTCTGCACCTTAGGAATGGAGCCCGAGATGGTGAAACCTCCAGCACCAAAGACCACAGTGGGTAAACCTCAAAAGACCACGACCACCACTTCCCCAGTTCTTCATCTGGAGACAAAACCCACACGGCGCCTCCCCAACACTCCTGAAGCTACAGCACCATCTGGCCTATCGCCCACTACCACATCGCCATCCGTTCTTTCTCCAACCAAAGATGTAACATTTGTCATAGAAGGCTCTGATGCTGTTGGTGAAGTAAACTTTAACAAGTCGCTCCTCTTCCTGGAGGAAGTTGTCACAAAACTGACAGAGGAGGAGGAGTTGATTCGCATCACTGTGATCCAATACTCAGTGACAGTCACTGTGGAGATCAGTCGGTGGGAGATAAGGCAGCACAGAAGCCGCCTGCTGGAACGCCTGAGGGAGGTTCGTTGGAGGGGTGGTAGTAAGACAAACACTGGAGCAGCTATCACTACCACTTTTCAAGAAATGGCTACGGTCCAGCCTTCTCTTCATCCAACCCCACCTCAGCTGGTTTTCCTTGTGACAGAAAACCCACCAACTGACACAGTAACGCGCCCACCATCTACCAGCATCCAGACTCATGTGTATCCCATTGGTGTTGGACCAAAGATACAAGAAATGGACTTGATTCAGTTCAGTTTTCCTCAGCGTCCATTAATGGTGGAGGACTACAGCCATCTGTCTAGCGTGGTCCACCGCATAGTCAACATCACGCGCACCACAGTCAGACCCCGCTCACCAACACTGCCACCACTAGTTGTCCCAACACATGCCAGCTTGCCAGTCTCAGGTACCATAACAGAAATGTTTATTCTCATCAAACAGTCCTCAGGGATTTCTTAGTCTGTATTAACTTGGAGTCTTATATTTGCACAGTGCCGTGTAAGAAGCCTCTGGATGTGCTGTTCCTGCTGAAGTCTGGCGGGCAGCTTGAGGACATGAAGACATTTGTTAAAGCTTTTATCAGTAATGCTGACATAGGTAGGTGTGATGCAGCTCTTATATGCAGATTTTTCTCACTGATGTGTTATTATTAATTTAGTTTGCAATCACTCTGTTTTTAGCAGGGGTTTTTTCTTCAGAAATGCAGCATGTTTAAGGGCCAAATAGGCTCTAAGAAAAATATTGAAGTATGTCTTTTTCCCCAACTGATATTTTCCATGAGAACAATACAGTTACTAAATTGCTTTAGTTTATTCGTGTTAGATCAAATCATATATATATTTTTTTTAGCATTATTGACCTTGAAAGAACAATATCACTCATGTTTAAATTATTAAAGAAGCACATTTCCACAGTGAGTTCTGTGTTTGTATGTGCGCAGGGCTCAGTGGCACTCTTGTGAGTGTTGTGCAGTACGGAGACACCAACACAGCAGAATTCCTATGGAGTGATCAACAGAGCAAATCAGACCTCCTGAGGATGGTGGAGAGAATTACTACAAGGACTCCTGCAGCCCCTAAACTAGGTAAAGGAGCTTGTTTAAACTAATATGCGCACATATTTAGACAGATGCACAATCACATGCAGTCATTTTTCTCACTTTTTGCAGGGTCTGCATTGAGATTTGCTGTGCAGACATCGATCTCACCAATCAGTGGTGGAAGAGTTGGTGTAGCCAAGGCTGTGGTGATGCTGGTGATGGACAAATCAACTGATGATGTCGGGGAAGCAGCTAATGAGGCACTGGCAGCAGGTAATTAAATCATCATTAACACACTGGATTCCTCAGTAAAAACTTCAGTTGGTATGTTTCCATCCTTCATCTTCCTCTGTCATAGCTGCGGTGTAGTTTCGCTGATAAGATTGTCTTCCCTCAGGTGTATCAGTGTTCCCAATTGGGATTGGACCAGACTATAACAAGAGTGAACTTGGAGTGCTTGGTCGCCAGGGCAACCAAGACAACGCTCTCCATCTGAACAGCATGGATCAGTTACTGATGTTGCTGACTCTGGACAGGAGTTACACAGAGAGAATCTGCAGAGGTGCTTACAGGCAGAGACACATACAGTAAATCTTCATTACATAGTGATGATAGAAATTGACAGTAATGGAAATGTTATGTGCTCTGTTATATATATTTTATTTTTTTAAAAATTGTATTTATTTTTTTAGCTGGTCCACCAGGAGTGTGTGTTGATGATAATGGAAATGAGAGAAAGGTGAGTACTGTCTGCTAGATACGACATTAATGTAACCTTTTACAAGATTTACTTGTAGCAAATTGTGCATCTCTCTCTACGTGCCTTAGCCTGGTGAGTCATGGCTGCTGGAGGATGGCTGTCACTCCCTCCTCTGCCACCCCAGTGGGGCGGTGACAGTACAGAATCACAAAGTCAGCTGTGACAGATTGGAGCCGCCAGCCTGCAGAAACAACATGCCACCTGTTAAAGTCCAGGAGACTTGCAACTGCCACTGGGAATGCCCTTGTACGTACATCCAAAGGATCCAATAGCCTCTTAGGTCTAGTCCATCTATATAAAGTGTGGACTATTTGTGTACTTGCTGTTAACAATGAATGCTGGGAGCTAACATTCCTTTCTATTTATACTAACTGTTAATAGAGCACAAGATTCTGGCTCCTGTACAAACACATGTTTTTTCCTCCTGCCTCAAATGTATTGACAGGCATGTGTATGGGCAGCTCCACCAACCATGTAGTGAGGTTTGATGGCCTGGCACTTAGGCTGGATGGGGAGGGTTTGTGCTCCTATACACTTCTCACTGTCAGCAGAGGCTCCAGTGAAGGGTCAGAGGTCAAACTCCACACTGGACCTTGCCAAGACTCTGCAAACTACCACCAAGTCTGCATGAAAGCCATGGAGGTGATCCATGGCTCATATAGGGTGCTGCTGAAGGATGACATGACGGTAAGATATATGATATATGTTATGTTTAAGATGTCTGCACTAACTGTAAGGATTTGCTCATTTATTTTGTATATGTTTATTTGAGCAGGCCATGATTGGAGAGGAAGAGCTTGCACTGCCTTGGCGGCACTCTGGCATTGAGCTGGTGCGTTATGGCGGAGTGATGCTGCAGCTGAAATCGGATCATGGCTACGTTCTGAGTTTCACGCCTCAGAGCAATGAGTTTACCATCACATTACTCAGCTCCACTACGACGGGGCACACTGCTGGACTTTGCGGTAACTTATATAAAGAGCCCACTTGTTCAAATATATGACAAAAGTCAGCATGTCTCACCCAGTGGCTTTCTGTATTTGTCTTTTTATTCTGATAACTGCCCCAAATATTGCTTTGTCAGGTGGCTGTGGGGAGGAGAAGTTGAATGTCCTTTCTTTACGCAATGGCACCTCGACCACCAACCAACCAGCTTTCATCTTAGACTGGACTGTGGCTGTAGAGCACGGTGTGTGCCTGCCAAGACGGAAAGCGGTGTGTGCATCTGGAGCGGCGATGGGATGTCAAGCTCTACGTTCTGAGGTGTTCGAACCATGCCATGCACATATTCCCGTTCAGGTTTTCCTCACCAAGTGTGAAGAGCAGGCATGTGAGGAGTCAGATGTGTGCGAGCTCATTTCAGCCTATGCACGCGTCTGTAGACAAAGAGGTGTGTGTGTGGACTGGAGGAGCCCTCACCTCTGCCGTGAGTAATTTTCTGATTTGCAGATGAGTTTATCTTCTACTCCAGCGAAAACATTTTAACACCTGAGCCTAGATCTAAGCTTAACTCTGTTCTGTGTTGCAGCGTTACAGTGCCCGAGTTCCATGGAGTATGATGCATGTCGGACAGGTTGCGTGGAGGACTGTGGTAGCATACAGTCGTTGCCAGGCGACTGGTCGGTTGCTAGGAGTAACGAGTCATCCTGTATGGACACGCCGACTGAAGGCTGTTTCTGTGCTGAAGGCACAGTTTTGCATCACGGACGGTGTATACCACCAGAAGCATGTGGACAGTGTGTTGACCATCATGGGCACACATACACGGTGAGGCACAAAACAAGAAAAGTGTGACTGAATCTGTTAGGAAGCAGTGACGCAAAATCAAGTTCTTAGTTAAAATAAATAAACACATATTCTGTTGGAATACTATCAGGCAAACATTTAGAGAACGGGTTAGAGAATAAAATGTGATTTGATTGCCCTCTAGTGTTTATTTCTAATATGACCAACTTCACAACATGAGCCTGGTTTTGTCTGTGTTTGTACAGTATATGCAGAGTTGGGTACCAGAAGAGAACCCATGTTTGATTTGCATGTGTTTGGATCAGCAACGGATCAACTGCACTGACCGGCCCTGCAACGATGTCAGAAGTCAGAAACCCTTCTTTTGCTCCTCATTATGCTCTTTGCATCTGCTTTTGTAGTGTTACTAAAGAAGAAGAAAAACTGCCATCTTTTTTAAATTAATCATGTGTATCTGTTTGTAGCTCCAGTGTGCGGACCTTGTGAGGTCCTCAGAAAGAAGACAGAGTCCAAGTGCTGCCCAGAGTATGAGTGTGGTATGTAAAAAAGGATAGTCT